AACTCACTATAAAACTGTTAAAATTTACGGAGAAGGAAACCCTTTTTACGTATGGATTTACGAGAGGTTAAATTTAATTAAAGTAATCGTGATTAAAACTCTGGACTTTTTTTACTTTAATACTGTGCATTTGAGAAGAATGTATTATGGAACTCGCCCCTTAGGTTCGAATCTGCCGCGAAATTACAATCCAAACATGCGACGTGCGCGCGCAGCAGAGCCTCACTTTTGGGCGCCTCATCCCTCCCGTGTGTGGCACCCGTTCAGAAAAGTATAGGGCAACGGGACCTAACCAAACCTGGACACAACAGGCGAGAGTCACAACGGCCGCTTACGCGAGTGTTCCTTCTATAGGCGTTAGTTTTATTATTCTATGCCGCAAGTCCGCAAGGCAAACAAAGGTAAAGACCTCAGGTACTTAGTGGTTTTTTTGTACATTGCCCGATCATATCGTGTATTGTGGAGCTTTTGAAAGTATAGACTGGTCTTCAAATCCAAGTACTCAACGAACGAAAGCACCTTCGTTTTTCACCCGTCAAATCGAAGAATTCGGCCGGTTCGAGAACTGTGATCAATCTTCAGCCAGTGGAATAGCCAGAGGTAAGCACGTTGTACATCCATGTTCTTTAGAGAATAGTGCACCTACGAGTACTGAGCTAAACTTTCTACATCAGCAACTTTCTCTGCTTCAAGTACTCATTTAGAAGACAGAGATTGTGTCTTCTGAGGTTTCATGTGGCAACGCTGTGTGGACGGTGAACTCAGCTTGCTACCTTTGGGCCTGTTGCAAACTTTTACTAGAGCAAAATTAAGAGTTGATGCTCATAGAAAGTGTCTCCAAAATCACAATGAGTGCGTCGGCAAAGTCTGAAATGCACTTCTTATTTCACTATCTGCGTAAGAAATTTGCGTTTTTTTTTAGCTTCCCGCTTCAAAAACAACATCATGGCACAGGTGAACAGCTCGTTCGAGGAGTCATTCCATCCAGCCCCTGCCCACAAGGATACTACGCAATATTCAACATAGCCAATACCTATCCGCCAAAACGCATGTGATGAGACGATGAAACTAACCACCTGAAAACAATCAGCGTGTTTACACTCACATTTTTCTGGCGCTGTTAGATATCCGCCTTGATTGACCTCGTGCTCTCCTCAGCTTGCACGCAGAAGCTTCGGCCAAGTTGAGCAGGGATCAAATGGAACGACTCCCCTAACCAAATGTTCACCTGTGCTGTAGTATCCTTTTTGTAGCAGGAATCTTAAGAAAACGTGAATTTCCTAACAGATAGTGAAGTTAGAAGAGCATTTCAGAGTTTGCTGATGCGCTCATCGCGATTTTTGAGACAGTATTTGTAAGGAACAATTCTTATTTTTGCTCTAACCAAAGTTTGCAACAGGCCGATTGAATGAACTTTTGAATTTGAGCAACCAGGGCTTCCTTGAGAGAATAATAGACTGATTTAGTGACTACATCATTCAATTTAATATCGAACTCTATATAAAATTCTTGGTTCAAACTAAAACAAACTAACACAACCTCATGTACGAATTCCTCATGAGTTAATTGAGGTTGTCTTCACATTGCTGTCCAGTTTCCTCATAAGACGTCTGCGCTTCACTGTTTCCAACACATCAAAGAGCGCACTTCACTATTTCTTCCCACAATCTGGTGTGTTTACTTAACTATTTTCTTCGTTTAAAAAAATGCGCTTATAATTTCCCTCGTATAAAAGAGTGCTTAATTATTTTCTTTAGGGCCAGACTAGCCAGGGGTGCAGCACCCTGGGCCCTTGGCTTTTTTTTTCCGCCACATGACCTGTAACTTGGTGACTCAAAATAAAGGTTTTTCATGATTACATCCTTAATCACGGAAATGATCATTTGAGCTTCTGTGTGGTGGGAAGGGGGGAAGGCTACTGAGTGGGCCGTAAGAGTGTAACCTTCAAAAGCTCCAAATTCAGATATTTTTAATCTTTAAGTCTCTAAAATTTGTCATGACGTGCTCTCGTGGAAATGTGGTTCCCACCTGCAGGCTGATTATTCACTTGTCTCATCTACCGACCTTGATAGATGCGAACTGCACATCCATTCCGAGCGATTCAGAACTATTGACGATGGATCCGGCCATAGATCCACTGATAGATGCGGATCCCCCGGGCCTGAGGCGGTAGATGAGATGACATCTATCGAATTTTGAGGTTATGTTATGTTTATTTTCCGGCGTGTTTACCGTGACTTGTGAACTAGTGAAGTTGTGGGTGACATGTAGATCAGTTCTTTTAGTGTATTTGCGTGTTTAATCTCCTACTCAAATGGCTTTTCTCCCACCGGGCTTCCTACCTCATCTTGCTGCACTGGAAAATGCTGCTAATGAAGAAGAAGCGGCTCATAATTACCGAGTTCAGAGGAAGAGACTACGGGACGCGTGCAATCCCTTTGATATTCCTCAGGCAATCTTCAAGCAGAACTTCCGTCTTGACAAAGAGAGGGCTCACGGTTTGATTGACAAGCTCACTCCTCTAATGCAGACTCAGAGGGCTTTCAGCCTAACTGCGACTCAAAAAGTAAGTGCCTAGCTGAATATGTTTTATTACGCTTTTCATTGCCGCCATAAGCTCAGCTTTTACATCATCATAATTATTTCTAATCAAAGGTTTTTAGTAAAGTTCCAAGTACCAGTCTCATTAAAATACTGATTTTCAGATGCCTCCTAGCCGCTTTAAGGAGGCGAGGCTATATGACATGATAGTGTGTCAGTTTTCGGAGCAAAATAAAGTACTTGTTCTTAACATTCCATTACTATCCATCTTTACAGAGTAGCGTCCGAAGGTCCTTTTCTCCTAAGGTTTTTGGCACAGTAAATACTTATTTATTCACCCGAAGGAACTGGTTTTGTCTTAGTAGGTTTGTTATTGTTGAAGTGGTCCCATCATGATGGTGAAGTGAGACAATTCCCTTGACAAAGTTTTTACATGGAAAACATTAAAATATCCACCACCGATAAAAGTTAATTTCCTAACATTTACAATTGAGCATGCATCTTTCATCATGGAAAGCTAGATAGATGCTAACACACTTTCCCTCCGAAGTATTATTTTTTTACTTCATTGTTATGTCTCACTGTTGCTAGGTTTTGACTGCCTTAAAGTTTTTGTCATGTGGGAGCTATCAGCGAGGTTCGATTGCGCACCATAATTTGATTAATTTGAGCCAGGCATCTGTCAGCCGTTGCCTGTCTGACTTTTTGACTGCAATGGATCAGGCGGTGGTTCGGGAGGTCATCATATTTCCCACGACTGAAGCCGAAATTCAGGCAACAAAATTGGGGTAATTGCATGTTGATAATTATTTTATTACATTCTTGTAATTTTCAGTACAACCTCTGAACCATACTAAGCTGGTAAGACTGATTAAGGTTAAAACACCTTTTTTGTGCTGCTGAGTAAAACTTAACTTTCATATGAATTATTTTCAAACAAATACCTACCCTATTTATGAACCAAATATTTTTGAGAATTGTGGGTTTTAATTCGTTTGCTTCCTTTTCTTAGATTCTTCGAAAAGTTTGGATTCCCGGGCTGCATAGGCGCTGTGGATTGCACCCTGATAGGTATTAAGAGACCCTCCCAAAACGAAGAGCAGTATTACAGTCATAAGAATCTGCATTGTATTAATGCTCAGATTGTAAGTATTAACATTATTTTCAACGAATTTTTCAGTATTCTTTTGCGATTTCCCCATAGTCACTGAACTTGAAGTATTTTTAAAGGACAACAGTAAATGTTATTTATCAAGAATCAGAATATTTTACCCTCAGAGCTTCACTAAACTATTCTTATTCTTAAAGTGTACAATTTTTTAATGACGAGCTAAGTATGAATTCCATGTCCATTAATCACATTTAGTCTGTGAGTAGAATTGTGTTAATTTTTAGGGAGGAAAACACCAAAACTGTGGTCTGAATACTGTCAGGTAATAAGATAAGAGAATAGTGCTGCTTCTATACATTTTTTGAAGGGGAAGTCAATGCCAAACATCTCGATATTTAATATCAAGGTTTTAAAATTGTTATTTATCCATGTTACAGATATGTGATAGTAATTTACGCATTACAAACATTAACCCACGTCATGGAGGTGCCACTCATGATGGCTTTATTTGGAGATTCTCGGTCATTAACAACCATTTAAGGATTGCCCATCAAAATGGACAGACTTATACTTGGCTTGTTGGTAATTCATCACAACTCTTTCAATTACTTATACTGCGGTAATCATACCAAGGACTGTTTAAGTAGGAATTGGATAACTTGGCCGCTTTCATTTGTCCACAGAGATTTCATTTTTCCCTCAGATGAGCTAATTTTTAGGTTCATGAACATTTTCTCCTGTTGAAGGTAGTTCTTCAAATATATGTTGCCAAATTTGGGATTTGTAACCCCCCACCAGAGTGTTACATATTTTACGAACTGCCCACTGTGTTTAAGACTATGAATGGAATTCTACGGATATGCATTCATCGAGGATTCTGATGGAGCAAAATTAAAATTGAGTGAAAGTATAGGTATTTGTAACCGGCACCAGTTACTAAATCCCTTTATTGTGCAACTCACAAAATATTTCCTTGGGTTCTTCTTCAAATAACACAGCAAGAGGGTCAAGAGTATGTTGAGAAAAAGAATTTAAAAAATAAGCGGCTCTCTATCTTTGTCATTTTTCGCTTGAAAAAGATAGAAAATATTTTATGAAATCAATTTCCTCTTGTCTTGTTGAGCCTTGGTTCATCAGTTGGGACATTGCCAGCAGCCTCTCATTGTGCTGTGGAATGAATGTTCGGCTCATGTCTACTGTTACGGAATACTGCATGGGGAAATTATGTTTGTTAAGTATGCTCTGAAAAAACTACATTTAAAGCCCATAAAAACTACATTTCTTTTATCTTTAATGAAGGAAGAAATCCCTCTCAGTCATCATTTAATGCTTCTTCCAGGTGACAGCGGGTATCCTACTCTACCGTGGGTCATGATTCCCATAATCCACGCGGATGAAAACACCCCTGAAGGTCGCTATACTCACGCCCAAATTAGAACAAGGAACTGTGTAGAGCGAGTGATAGGAGTGATGAAGGCCAAGTGGCGTTGCATTCTTAAGCATAGGATTCTGCACTATGAACCTGGGAAAGCAAGGCGCATCATAAGATCCTGCGCCGCACTTCATAACATCGCCATGACAATGGAGGATTATGCTCATGATGCTCAGAATTTCGAGGTAGATATCGATCAGGAAGGAGAACCAGCAGGACCTCTAAATGGTATCCTGGAGGATGAGTTGGCGGCAGGTTTAGTAGTTCGCACAGAATTGATTGCAGCCCATTATGGTTAGATGTGACTGAGTCTTTCTTCTCTCCCAGAACTTTCTGTTGAACTCCACCATAAGTGTATCAGCGTTCTTTTTTAATTATTATAATAATAATACTGTGTTGCTGAAAAGAGCAGTAACATCAAAATTTTCGTAATTGAGTTTGAACGACATGAAAGTTCGACTTTTGAATGTGAGTTTGAATTGAGGGGTTGGTGCTACGCTCGTGGTCCATGCTCTTAATAAGTATTACTTTCCTCTTCTTTTTTCCTTCCATCATGCTTTAATTTGACGCCCTGCTGGTTTCAGCTTTGCTTCGTCTTTTCTATTGCAGGCGTTTATTTCCCGGTTCTGTAGTGTAGTGTTGCATATTTTGACTCTACATCTGTGTCAGAGATTTTAGTATAAATGACATGTTCCCCATGAGACAACTCCAGTGTAAGCCTTCCATGACCTACAGACGAGTTCATTAATAAATTTCTATTTCCATTTGGTGGACATTTTGCAACTAAGAACCATAATCTTTAGCTCACTTTAGAAACTATGTATGTACCATTAGTTTCCCAATGCAGATATGTGTTTTTACGGACAAGCCTAATCCTAATTGCAGAATGAAGTCCATTTTCTCCCTCTTAAAGTGGACTTCAGTCAACTCATCCCTCAGCAAGATCCTTTTGCCAACAAATTATGAAGTATCCATGTTTTATTGTTTCTCAGCATTCCTATTTTTCCTCACTCTTGAAAGTATGTTGTAAAGAGGAAAGAAAAATGTGAGGCAGAAATGATTATTTAAGTCTAAATACAGAATTTGCTAGTGTCTGAAATTTGATGAATTTCGTGTTTAAGTGGAAACTACCGAGTGAACTGAACACGAGGATATCCTTGGTTCATGAATTGAACAATCATTGGAGAAGATATGACAAAATGATCTAATCTGCTAAAATACACGTGTTTCAATGGGAAATGCCGCCAGATGACATCTGGGCGGCGCATTTTCTCACATTTAAATCTATTTTCATACTATTTCCCAGAAAGTCCCTGAGACAGGTACTTTGAACTTTACTAAAAACCTTTGATTAGTAATAATTATGATGATGTAAAAGCTGAGCTTATGGTGGCAATGGCTTTTTGAGTCGCAGTTAGGCTGAAAACCCTCTGAGTCTGCATTTGAGGAGTGAGCTTGTCAATCAAACCGTGAGCCCTCTCTTTGTCAAGACGGAAGTTCTGCTTGAAGATTGCCCGAGGAATATCAAAGGGATTGCACGCGTCCCTCAGTCTCTTCCTCTGAACACGATAATTATAAGCAGCTTCTTCTGCATTAGCAGCATTTTCCAGTGCAGCAAGATGAGGTAGGAAGCCCGGTGGGAGAAAGCCTTTTGAGTAGGAGATTAAACACACAAATACACTAAAAGAACTGAAAGACTCAGAGGAAAAAAATTAAAAAATACTGGAAAATCAGCTCTTTAAGCACTTTCAGATGAAGCAATAAAAAATTTGCACCCAAATTCTCCATTTTATGTAATGAAAAAAATAGAGAGTTCCTAAGTTCCTTGTCTTCTAGATAATCTGTATTATGTAATGTCACTAGTGTTACCAATGTTAATTAGTTTTCTAATACCTTTGTAAATTTAACTCATTGAGATAGATACAAGGCGTGTAGTTCTTGTAGCTGTTATTATATTTTTAAATAAAATTTGTTTAGAAAGGAAAATCATTATACTTCTCTTTGCTTCTTAGGATGTCCCAACAATTGGAAAGTAATCAAGTAATTATAAGACCAACGAAAAGCTTTAAGCATGAATCAATTCTAAGACACTGAGACAATCACCTTAGATGAATTTCCTGGAGTTTACTGTACATTCTTCCCATGTTCCAACAGTTGTCTCACGACTCAAAGTTGGCAATTTGAAAAAATCTGTCGAAAAATTGAAGTCAATTTATCACCGAATGAAACACTTTTATTAAGATGAACAGGTACAAGAGAAAATAAATGAAGAAGATATCTTGAGTAACAAGTGAAACTAGAAAAAAATCACAATTTGGTGAAATACAACTATAAAGCACAATAGTTTCAAATAAACAGGTAGCTTCAAACTTAAACTGACATCTTTAAGTGGCAATTTCAAATTCTATGCTTAAATATTGAAGTCAATTCATCACCAAACAAAACACTCCTATTAAAATGAATAGGAACAAGAGAAAGACAAATAAAGAGATCTTGAGTAACAAATGAAAAAACTATAAAAAAATCACAATTTGATGAAATACAACTATAAAGCACAATAGTTTCAAATAAACAGGTAGCCTCAAACTTAAACTGACATCTTTAAGTGGCAATTTCAAATTCTCTGCTTAAATATTGAAGTCAAATTATCACCGAACAAAACACTCCTATTAAAATGAATAGGAACAAGAGAAAGACAAATAAAAAAGAGAACTTGAGTAACACATGAAAAAACTAGAAAAAAATCACAATTTGGTCAGATAATACGATAGAGCTCAACAATTTAAAATAAACCGGTAACTTCAATGAAACTTAAACTGACCATTGGCAACATCTTTAAGTGGCAATTTCAAATTCTCTGCTTAAATATTGAAGTCAATTTATCACCGAACAAAATACTTCTATCAAAATGAATAGGAACAAGAGAAAGACAAATAAAAGAGAGATCTTGAGTAACAAATGAAAAAACTAGAAAAAAATCACAATTTGGTCAGATAATACGATAGAGCTCAACAATTTAAATTAACAGGTAACATCAATGAAGCTTAAACTGACCTTTGGCAACATCTTAACATCTACATCTTTTTTCAGACACAAGAAAAAAAATCAGTCTAATAGAAAAATCAGTCTTTTAGAAAGTATGATATCCTCTCCTGGATACACAATATTTTGAAAGAGTCAAAAGTATATAATAATGTAGAAATATTCACATCTTCATATCACTCTTCTTCTTCATCTCCTCCGATAAGTCTTCCTACTTTATCACTGAGGCGGGCAAGCGCTAGACCTAATCCCAAATTCGATTCGCACTGGGCGGTTGATGCATTAGTCATGGCCGTTGCGATAGCGTTCATTGACGAGGCTGCATTGTTCATTGACGCGGCTAAATTATTCATTGCTGCAGCAAGTTCCTGGAAAAAGAATAAAGATAATGATTAATCAAGCCATGAAGCTTGAAACAAGTAGTAACAATAGCCAAAAGTTGTTTATAACAGGTTTTTAACAGCAGGCTTTTAAGGCCTCATTCATGTAGGATTGCCAAAGAAAAAGAAAAAAAAATTCTAGTAACATCAAGAGCTTCATAATTATTTTTTGTGTAATTATTTGGCGATGATTTTTACAATAATGCTGGAACATACGAACTATGTAAAGACTGATGGTCAATAGTCCATTTCTCTCTTTTTTTTTTTTTGATTTTCTCTCTCAGCCAGTAAAAAATTAAAATGTAACTGAACGCAAACGATTCACAATGGTAACTTTGAGTAGATTTAGCCCTTGATTGACTTTACCTTCATTCAAATCCGCATTGTGCGTTTTATACAACTATATATGACCATTCAAGGAATAAGGAAATTTCGATTGCCTGTAGACGTTCTTTCCTACTTCTTCAGCTTTGAAGATACTATGTCAAAATGATACGACTTTATCTTGACCTCCCTGGGATGTCCATATTTCGTCCTATTTTTGGGATGATTTACTTCCTTACTGTAAACAGTATTGCACCAGTTCATGGTTACGGCCACATATCTATTTCTATTTTAGCCTCAAACATCCCAAAATACTCTTTAATTCTTGAGTAAAATGTAGCAATGAAAGTATTACGGAGCATGGATGCAAATTATTCAAATATTTAGATAATCTTTGAACTTCCTACAAAAGGATGGCTTGTATGGATTCAATTAAAGGACAAAATTTAGTAACTCCATGGGCTTTGACTCTGTGGGTTGGGTATCAGTTGTAACATCAAGAATAGTGACTGATCATAGATCTTAGCTTTGAGAATGTACGAATGACCTCTGATACAAATAATGATGAGTCTGCTTTTCTTGTGGACCGACAAGCAGAGAGGAAAATTTAACAAGTGTACCTTTGTAGCTTTGATGGATTCCATGGTAACAGAGACGTAGGCTTTGGATGTGTCCTGATACTGTCCTCTCAAATTTGTGCGTGGACCTGTTGAGCAAGAAAACTTAGGAGTAAATTAATCTGTCCATTACTATGAGGTAATTTTAAAATTAACGTTTCCGGATATCCCTTTGGGACAATGGGCCTAAACTTTAAGTTTTAAGTAAGTTCTCCCAACCTATTGTTTGCAATGCTGCTTGCATCAACTTCTGTTTCAAAACCAAGAAGTGCCATTCTCTATTCTATTTTGCTTTCAAAATTTCTCAGGTTCTGACAGTGTTGTATTTATATGTTTTGGTACATAGTTTCTCTGTCTTATTTCGACCATTCTTTCCTTTATGATAATTGAATAATGGATATTAGCTGATTGCCTGTTTATTACCAGTACCTACATAAATGAGTCTCACTTTATCAAGAGAATTACCTAGATATGACAGTCAAAGTAAAAGACGAATTAATTAAAGCGTCGAGTGGATTAACATGTTTAACTATCAGTATGTGCTTTAGAGACAAACAACCTGCAACCCTGAAGATTAAATGTCTCTTACGGACTTGGAAGAAATTGAAACAGGTGCAACGATCTTAGATGTGCGTTATGAAGCTCAGGTTTCCCTGAGTTAACAGATTTTGTCATTAAAAATTATTGAAAGCTCGATTAGGCATAGATAAACTTTTCTATTGATTCACTAAACTCCGCAACTCCAAGAACAACTGAGAACCCCTCTTAGAAAAAATAGAAAGTTGCACACAAAAAACAGATGAACTGATTTTCCTAGTTGATGGAGCAATTTCACCACACATGTACTATAATTTAACTTTAAAATGATTTATTTGTTTAAACGGGAAGCGACAAAACATGGTCCCTTGCAGCTTTTACAGAAATTCATTTTCCTCTTTCATGCAGGATAAAGTTTGGGTGCACAAAATATAAGGAATTCTTTCATTTATATCTGCTTTGGTACAAATGTAAGAGAAATTCTTGTTACAAATCTGACGCTGCATACCTAATAACACAATGGGTCTTTTTTAACAGTAGGTAAGCTTACGTTTAGCTGGTGGACCAGGATCCTCCTCATTTGCTGATGAACCTGTGGGTTTTTGAGGTATTTGGGTTGAGGGTCCGCTCTCCAATTCTTTCTCTGAGGGTTCGCTCTCCGATTCTCTCTCCGAGGGTCCCTCATCCTCCTCCTCTGCACAGCTTACCTCATCATGACGGTCTGCCACTGTGGAAAAAAACAAAAATGCATCAGTTGATTACTGAAGGGAATGAGAGGAAAATATTTAACCACAACGGAAATGAAGGCAATAAATATGACTACAGAAGCACAAATTAGAGAAAGCACGGAACGGGGCAAAATTGCCTATTAGACATTTTCACAAAAAATAAAATGAACGGGTAACTCCTAGTTTAATTTATTTTCTCTTTCCGACAAATCTCATCGATATTAAAATGTGAAATGCAGTAATTCCTTTGCAATTAATGCTTGCATTGTGATAGATTGTCCACACATTCACATAATTTTAACCCAATCTCCTCGAAATTTTTTAAATTATTTCAACCTTAGATATTCACTGATAAAGATGAAAACATAAATTTAACTCACCTCTCACAGGTGATAAATTAGGGGTTATCAAATACTCCCAAGTCTCCGATACATCCACATTACCGGATCTGGATGTGGAAGCAGTGGGGACAACTCGAGGATCAGAAGGTTCAGAAGGTTCGGAGGTTGAGTCACCCTGGCGAACTGGAGTCTGTAAGAAGAGTTTTTCGTAAGAGAGGGTAAATCTTGCTGGAATCTGTATAAGTGAACTGACCACCATTAATTTGGATTTAAGAGATTACTAACCATGCTTAAACCCAAAAAAGCTGTATTTTTGGTTCTGAATCTCCTACTTACGCACAGAAATTTTAAAATGCTACCGCTAACTATTTTGAGTACAGGGCTGACCATAAATTATGGAGGTTTAATAGTAAGTAGGTAAATATTTTATGTCCACTGAAAGGTAGAATGCAATGGTTCCACAGAATACTACTGGTCCACAACAATGTAAGTAAGCTGAAGAAAGGTGAAACTCCGGATGATAAGTTACCAAGAAAACCAAGGGTGTCACTACTGCGGTGGATGATGTCAAAAACCGAATTTTTCAAGCGATCATATCTCTGTTAATATTGATCTTGGAAAGTTACTATTTGGATGGATCTTATTATTTTCAGCTAATCTACAAGAATCAGACATCAAAACACAATTCTGAGACCAGCCCAGCTGACCCATTATAAAATGTAGCACATTTCTTAAATGAAAGGAGATTAACTTACTTCCTGTTGAGGAAGACCAATTTCCTCCTCTTCCGGCTGACCAACCCACTCTTTGCCTCCGCAAAGATCGACGATCTGCTGCTCCTCAGCAGTTAAGGGTGGCACCTCTCGACCTTTGTCATCAATTGCCTTCACATTTCCGGTCTTCCTTGTTGCTTTTGCCAGATATCCAGCCTTTTTCTTAATCCTTTTTTTCAGGTCACTCCAAGTCTGGAATTGAAAAGGAAATGGAACAATATCTAATGATTGAATTTTAACAAGGCAGAATGTTAACAGTTTCATAATTTATAACAGAATGAGCTAAGATCCACATTGAGAAAGGCTTGTGCAAAATATCACTCTTTATTGTGCTAAAAAAGCTTATCAGAAGCTCATATCTGCTGTATTGTTCGTTACATAATGCTTACAGTATCAAAGCATGATTATTGAAGTTGTATCTCACAGAAAATTGCTGCTGCTTTTGAATGATCTTGAATGAAAAACTAAGAAACATTAATGTTTATAATTTTCCCAGAATAATACTCACATAGTGAAGAAAAATCAGAAGAAATTTTGACAAGGAAAACTTTCCTCAGTTTTCCCTCATGAATATTCCTTACGAAGAATACACCAACCCCAGTCTCACCGTAACTGCCTTCAATCCAAATTCTTCTTGAAAACAGATAGCCTCCTTCAACAAGGCCCTGTGCTCTGTGCAGGTATGATTGTTGCTCAACGTTATTCAACTGAGAAGCATATTTTTGGAATATTTAAGAGCTATTTCTAGACATGATTTGAAATGAGCATTACATAACAGCTACTCATAAATGGACGTATTCATGCAAAGAGGAACTATGAACAAATGATGAAATCAAAAGGCACAAAACTATGTATATGAGATTTGCATATATCTTGGTTACCTTATCTCTTATTAATCTGTGCATACCTTCTTCCAGAATAAATACGGCTGAATAGGAAGCATCCATGCAAGTGTTGGTTTCAATGGCAATGATGATAGGAAGAAAAAATTATTAATGTAAATGATAAAATAATAAGACTGTAATTTTATTTACCTGTTTCCATGACGCTTTACTCCGGGGTGGACCATTGGCATTCAGGATCTTGATCAGCCGATCCCACTGATCGACCGTCTTCTTCACGTTATTCTGACCTGGGCTCACACCACTTTTCGCAAATATGGTGTGTTTTGCCATATATTGAACAAGCAGACTGCGCTGCTTGTCACTCATTGTGACCCTCTTTTTCTTGGTGTCGCTCATCTTCTTTAAATACAACTACACTTCACAACACACACACACACACAAAAGTAAAGAAAAAACCACTAAAAATATGGCACGGACACTAGCATTAACTTGGTAAAATACATGGGTAGAAATGGGCCGTTTATTCACAGTTAAAATCTGTAGCTAGAAAGGACAGTGTATACAACTACAGGCCGGAGCGAAAGACTTCGAACTGTAGTGAAATACACTACTCCCAAAGGAACGGTGAACGCATGAGAAAAGTGCATTGCTAGATGGAAAAGGACCCAGATAACAGCGAGACGTAAGCTCACGAACAATTGATTTAACTTGAAAATATTAGAGCTGCACGTTTTTATAAATCGCATTGAATGGGAGGCGTATAAACTTAGAATAGAGGTGAAAAGAAATTTATGACTTCAATCAATGTAAAGCTAGGTCCATATCATTTTTAGGGAGAATCAAAGGCAGAAAATCTAAAAATTATAAGTGGAGTGAAATTACGAAATTGATTCCAAAAAGAAACTCACAGCAAAGTAAAACTTGCAATAAAGACACTGACGGTGAAAACTTGATTTTCCGATTTTCGGAAAAATTTATTACTTTTAGACTTTCAGAATTCAGAGGATCACATATTTGGAGGTTAGCCGGTTGTTTACAGCACGCTTCTTCTTCTTCGCCCGTAAAGTCAAGTGTTCTGATTGGTTGAAATGAATAGTTTCTTTTCAACTTAATCGTTCAACACTGTATTCAAATTCTGCTCATCCATCGCTCATCTATGACCGTTCCATCGGCTTGGATCTGAGTCTAGAATCGCAAACAGTTTGCTCATGCATCTATCATAGATGCGCGGTAGATCAGATTTCCGGATCTATGACCTGGATCCATGAAAGTAAATAATCAGCCTGCTGAGAGGGCCCAGCTTTGAGAAGGTGATTCTTCAATGTTGGAAAGACCTTATAACAAAGTGTAGGGCTTCGAACTGCTGGGTCTCGAAAATATTTTTTTGCACTAAACAGCACCCCCCCCCCCCCCCCCCNAGAGTCGCAGAAAGCCCTTCATCCTGAAACTGAAGAGGCCGAAAATTGGATTTTGTAGGAAGACCCCTGCTCGACAAAAACCCCTCTGTTAGAGGCTCAGCTACTTTCATCCATCGAAAGCAGCTGTCTTTCAAGAATCGAGAAAATAATTGATCGAATGGCTTTATCCTCCAACCTCTTTAAGAAGCTTCAGGCTTCTGCTATTTTAATATTCCATTCGATCCTCAGGGAGTCCTTTTTACTTTCTCTTTTTTTACATTTAACTGACTCGCGTTTTATCATTACTCTACGTAAGCTTCATAAGCTCAAAGAATTTGTGGAATGTAGTTTTTTAAAGCATGTGTTTCGATAAATTTTCAACTAATTTACGTCAGTGTACTTAGGTATTTCAATTTTTCCCCTTTCTGTCAAAAAATGAGTCAGAAACAGCCAAAAATGGCGTATTTTGAGGTGCAATGTCTTACAATTTTTCGGAAGAGTCCAAACTAGGGGGAGGCCCCTCAGGCCCCCCTCGGAGGCCGCAGTACGAAGCGGACCCGGGGTCCTACTAGAGTACCTGTATAGCGAGAGTATGGACAGATCGCTTCATGGAGGGCTCAGGGCCCAAAAGTGCAGCCACCCTTCTAACCAACTTCTAACGCACAAAATTTCACTGCCAGTCTGCAGATTCCAATTCCAACTAAGATGGCTAAGAATGTACATAAATGAGCGTTCTTCCTCAAAATTGAGTAAATTTATGCAAAAAATGAGTCAAATACATGCTTTATAAACGATGGTTCGTAACAATTGTATAAGTAAAGTGCTCTGGATAATTGAAATTCATAGGTTGGCTGCATTTCTGGGCCCTAACTTTATTCGCAGAAGCATCGGTGAAGGCCTGATGGATTTTCGGAGTTTCACATCTGTCCATACTCTCGCTATACAGGTACTCTAGGTCCTACCAGAACCCCGGGCCTTATCTTCCCAGCCCGGCCCTGATTTTCTTCCTGAGACTAAAATTTCACCAAGAATACACTGAAAAAAAAATCTCGGTGTATTTACGAAGAAAAGGGTAAAATTACCAAGAATTCAGGGTTCTAGTTGATCCCAGTTTTTTCTTGGTAAAATTACCATTTATGGAATTGCTAATTTTACCGAGTTCTCGGTAAAATTATTGAACTTTCTTGGTAATTTTACTGGACCTTGGTAAAAACGCCAATATTTTTTATCGACTGTGGTGGAATTACCTAGATAAAATGGCAAAGTTACCGGGAATTGGTTACCAAGAAAAGCGGTATTCTTACCTGAAAAAAAACAGTAAAAATACCGGTTTTTAGGTGAGCTTACCAGTCTGTCTTGGTAAAATTACCAATAATTGGTAAAAAAAGTGAGATGGTAAAGGTACCAACGGACCTTGGTAAAAACGCCGAGAATT